TGTGATTCCTTTCTCGCTCATTGAACACACAAACAGAGACATGGATACATGCTGTTGCACCTGCAAATGTGCGCTACTTCTTCTGCCTCAGGACAAAGGGGTATAGCGTAAGTGCACCCTAAAAAACATACTGGGAACAAGAGGAGCACAAAAGGGAAGACAGGCATGCGGAGAGATAGCGAGAAGGACAGTAATCTAATATGTTTCTGTAACCACTCAGGACAGATTTAGCTGAGAAAAAACCACGTGGCAGGAGGGCTACATTCTCCAGGCACATGGTCAAGCACCTCATTCTTTAAGAAGTGCAAACAGGGACACAAAGACAAACGGATAAGTCTTAAGGAAAGAAAATAGGTGAGGGGAAAGAAAAGGGAGATAAGAGGCGCAGGGAGGACTCAGAGGGGAATGTGGTGAGGGGCGCAGTTTGAAGCCAGGAGTGTGCGATATCTTAGGAATGAATGGGATCCCCCAATATCAGTTACTGTGAGTGCCAAGCCTGGGAATGGCAGCATATCTCACACACAGGAAAACATATGAGCTGCTGTGGGCAGAACTGAAGCACACATACATCCACTTCAACAGCCACACACACGCTTGTGATTATAGTTTTTCCACTTTTTCTGTATTTATATGGACTTTATCAGCGAGAGATATTGATATCCATCTCTTAGTTACGACTGTGCTCCCCACTGCTGTGACTCCACCCTCTTTCTACCCCATCTATCAGGATGGGAGGTCATAAGTCATGTGTAGAAGAGGACAGGGTCATTGGACACTGAGTGTGTGTGTAAAAACGTCATGTTCTGCTTTGATCCCATAGGTGAGAGGTCACGCGTCGTCACCGTCTGCGCATCTCTGCCACACCTGCGCTCAAGTGAGGAGTCACGTCTCTTTTCGACAAAACAAACACAAGATAGTTACCTGGGAAAAGACAGGAAACCGGGAAAGTCTGACAGGAAGATGTTTGTCCCTTGACTCACACAAGGAGTCTTTCTCAATATGCGTTCTTGTGGCCTCTGTTATGCAATGTTTCATGGGCAAATAAGGATTTGAAACCAAAACAGTGCAGAGGACAAGCGATGGAGGCCGATATGTTTGCTGAATCAGATGATAATGTGGTAAAAAAAGAATTAATGTAAAAGCCACACAATTCATGGAGGGCAATCCATCACAAATACTACACAAAAGTAACTATGCCTCATTTATTATTCCGAAAATCTTATAAAACTTAAGTTATTTAAATTCCTAAAGGGATTGGATGGGCTAAGACTTGTGACCACCTGGTGACAATGGGAAAACTAATTAAATAACGTTTGTAAAAAGAATAACTGTGACTCATAATAAACAGAACATTACACTATTTTCTTCATAAATGATTAAACTATTGTTTTCACTCGAATGTTTTTCAGTGGAAGGTCAGTAGGTACATCAGCGGATTGTTTTCGATCCAAGCCTGGTTTTGAAAAAATAAGCACAAAGCTCAAGCTCTTGTGTCACAGTAGAAATCTAATTATGTATATTAGGGGAAGAAGGAGTGAAAGTAAGAAGGGAAAGTGTGTGTTGGAGGGGGTGGGCGGACGAGAACAGAAATTTAAAAAAGCTGAGCTATGCAACTCCTCAAACGGGATTAGGAGCCAAACCAAAGGCATGGAAGCCCAGCAACAGCCCCATGGGGGAAAAGAGGGGGGAGGCTGGTGTGTGTATGTGTGTGTGCGTGTAGCTGCATGTCGTCTTGCACAGGGAAGGTAATGAAAAAGATCAGAGCCGGGGTGGAAAAAGACGATTTAGCATCAATCATTCCTAATCATTTAAGTTACAATCTGCTACTCTGCATCACTGAACGATATAACACACTCCACCTGTAGCCACTTTGTGCAAGCTTTAACCTATGCTGTACAAACCCCACCTATCAGGTATGTGTTTCCTGGAAAAACTCCATTAGGGTTTTGTCTTTTGCATGTCAGGAAGTACTGTAGGAGTTTGGTTTGAGCAAATCGAAATATGCAGTGGCTTAATGAACGAATAAATGAAATCACTAATTATCTACATAGCTGTTAGCCATGGCTTATTCACAACACAAGCTGGCCAAATGCTGGTAAATCTTGGCTTCAGATGCCGGGTCTGTCTGTCAGATCTGGCAATCAACCAGCCGGTTTGAGACTTTAATTGTGTGGTAACTAGTGGAACAAATTGTTAAAATGGGGTTTCCTGTGTACCACTGCGGGCTTCCTTTGATTTGGGAGAAATCCCAGACCTGTCACAGACTGGATAGGGCTCAATGGTGTAGTAAAGTTGACCAGTTACAGTACAGAAAGCCAAAATAAAAGGTGCATTACACTGAAAAACGTACAACTGCCTCTGTGACAGTTAGATATTGGCGGACAGTCCTCTTTTAGAAAACCCCAAATGTTTTAAGTGAAATTTGACAAGCTAAGATAAGAGTTCCCACAATGGGAACACATAGCACACACACACACATTCGCACGCACACACACATACGCACACACACACACACACACACACACACACACACACACACACACACACACACACACACACACACACACACGCACACACACACACAAGTACAGGGGGAACGAGGGCAGATAATGTTGTGGCTAGCAGAGTGTGTAAAGTGAGTGTATCTCGGGAGAGTTATCAGGGCATTCTTCTGTTTCAGCAGAGGGCTAGAGAAACATTCTCAGGCCTCCTGTTCACCGCAAAAAAAGCACCTGTGCACTTCTTGAACTGCTTTAACAAAGAGTCTTGATAAGGGGCACACAAAGAGGAAAAAAAGTCCTCTACAGCGAAGATAAAATCAACAATCACTGCGATACATCAAAAGTCCTTTGTTTAAGTGATCAGGAATGATAATTAAGGTTATAAGTAGACAAGGGATGATGTCCTCTGATCAATCTCATCACTTATGGATAAGGACGGCAATGTTAAAGACTATATTCTAGACTTATAGACGTATCATTTGGAGCCAGTCTGACACTAGGGCCACCGTCGGCTCCAGGAAACTCCAACTGGATTCAGCCAATGACAGAGAAAAGGTCAAAACAATAAACACAAAATAAAACTAATTTCTAGAAAAGACAATATAAAAAAACCTGTGGAGCAGGGGAGAGGTTGAATTCTAGAGACACAATCAGAGTCTTGTCTCTTGTTAAGGTGCTATTAGTTCACCAATCCCCTCGGGCCTTCCTCTCCCAAGAGGCCAGGGTTGAAAGGTCAAGACAATCTGTGGTAATGGCTATCCAACACTTGACATCTCTGTGAGCTACCAAATACAAAAAAGGGTGGGGGTTTATGGAGTATGTGCATCTGTTCAATTGTGCATGCACACGTGTTTATCTTGATTTGTGTAGGCACATGGGTACAACTAATGTTGAGGTCCATCCCCCATAGGGACCATCATGAGGTCACTGTTGTCAGGGATATGGCAAGAGCTGTCAGCTGTTATTGAATGCAGTGGCAGTGAATGAGGGCTGTTGCTATTGTGGTCAGTGGCTAACACCTCAGATACTCCACAGGTCGTCTATAGGGCCATAAAGCACTTAGAAAAGGACAGTCTGTCTTTTGTTCAAGACAAAGAAAAGGCACAAGTCCTTTAGGAAAAACACCATTCTGAGAAAAAATAGCAGGGGGGAAAGACCTTCACTGCCCAATGGACTTTGCTGTGTAACATTACAGGTTTAAGTCCAGCTAAATAACTACTATATTATCCTAACAATGTCTTGGTCACTGCCCCAAAGAGAGGGAAATTCCCCTGTGACAAATGAACAAAGAAAGTTATTCAAGTTGACCCAAATAATACTAAACGTACAGGCCAAAATGTCTGAGAATTATTTCTAGAAACAACAAAATGATTAGATTGAAAGATAAGGAATGTGGGTTAGCCCTGGTGCATTCTGGTCCATAGCAGCTCATTTCATTTGTATTCCTTCAGTATGTTTGATATGCTGGCTTTTCTTTAACTTGAGAGATGACAGAGTGTCATGGATAGAGGGTGAGCTGAAGAGATCTAGCTGTGTTGGGCTGTTTGCCAATTTCAGGGCTTAATGTGCTTAAGAAGATCATCCAATAGCTGTCAATAGGTGACAGGCTAGTTAAGGCGTTAGATTTATCATGCGTCTTCAACTGCCTGAATGAAGGTTTCTTGCAAAGTGAGTGTGTGTGTTTGTCTGCAGCAGTAACCCTGCCATTTTAGGTGTGAATGTCAAGTGTTTGCATTTGTCTAATCTTTAACTTCAAAGATCAAAGTCTTATGCCTCTATGGTTGAAAAAAAGCAACTTAGGGCGCATTCTTTCTTCCTGAACTTGAACACACAATCCTTGACATATGAACCCATGTTACAGAAAGCTCCCCCAAAACAAAACTGAATCAAATACTTCTCCTACGTTCAAAATAGAGGTAATTGTAAGAAACTTAAAAAGTATGCAAAGCAAGGAAAGTTGTTCTAGTAAAATGAAATGCTGGAAAACATCTTGCCACAAGATGTTGATAAAGCTCCCTGCAGCCCAGGCTGAAAACCTTAAGCCACTTCAAAGAGAGCAGTGCTTTAAGGTAGGGAAATCAGGTGTGTGCATATGCTTACACTATATGATTGTGTGTGTTCCAACCTGTGGCAGAAACCCACATATCTTCAACAACAAAGCAGCTAGGCTATCAGGGTGCCCTACTTAAAGCACCTTTTTATTACCTAAACCAATCACTTGCACACAATACATTTATCACCCTAATGGTTCAAAAGCAGCACAACCGGATCCTGCATAGAGCCTGCAGCACACACTCACTACACACACAGTCAACACTACCGCCGAAACCTGCCCCTCTTCAACTGAAGATTATATATTGACTCTGCACATGTGGTGACTCAAATGTCAGTCTTTAACACACTTTATCACCATGCAACACATGCAACTGCCATTAAAAGGGAGATCTTCCTCACAGAAAAAACAGCGTGAAAGGAAGAAGACTTGTTCTTGGTTTTTACCTGACACGGAGATGGTCATGGGGGCTTCCAGGGTCCTGTCATTGTCCAGGTCTCGGCTCAACCTCAGATCCCCAGTGTCGGCGTTCAGCAGCAGCAGATTGAGCTCGTTCCCAGATTCAAATTTATACCGCAGTTTATCCGATACATCCGGGTCATGTGCTGGAACCTTTCCTATTATTCCTGATGGAAAACTGTTAGATTTGTTGGTGATGTAGTTGTTGAAAATAATCTCAAAGTTATGCAGCACTGGCTCATTGTCATTCATGTCTTTAAGGCGGATGTGCACAGTGGCCCGGCTCACTAGTGGTGCTGAGGTGGCCTGGACCACGATGACATACTCCGTTTTAGTCTCATAATCCAGGTCTATGAGTGCGGTGAGGTCACCGTTAAAAATGTCTAGCTGGAAAACTTCTGGATTATTCCCTTCTACAATCTGGTACATGATCTGAGCATTTGTGCCCTCGTCAGGGTCGGTGGCAGAGATCCGGGCCACAACGGACCCCACCGGGCTGTTCTCCTCCACGTCAATAAACAGCTCATCCTTTTCAAACACTGGAGCATTGTCATTAATGTCTTGGACAACCACATGAATAGGAACAGCTGCTTTTAGCTGTGGAACCCCCCTATCTACAGCATAGGCCTTCAGATTGTAAACAGGAACATTCTCTCGGTCCAGTTTGCGAGAAGTTCTGATGATACCAGAGGAAGATTCTATGAAGAAATCCCCATCTCCGTCATCGCCATCCTGAAATGTATAGCTCAATCTACCATTTGGGCCAGAATCTCTATCTGAAGCAGAAATCTGGAGAACGCTGGTGCGGACAGGTGCATCTTCTAATACAGTCCCCTGATATCTGTCCCTTAGAAACTGAGGAGTATTATCATTGGCATCGGCGATGATAATCTCCACATAGGTGGTATCAGATTTCTGGGGGATGCCATTGTCTCTGGCAATGATTGCTAACGTGTAGGAGGCCTGGTCTTCATAATCAAGCTCCATTTGTGTTGTGATGGCCCCTGTATCCGGGTCAATTTTAAACTGAGGAACATTATCCTCCATCACGTACGTGATGCGAGCATTTTCTCCTGTGTCCTCATCCGTCGCACTGATCACTACCACAGTAGAGCCCACAGGTTTTTCTTCACTGAGCATCACCTGGTAGTTGGCACTTTGGAAGACGGGACGGTGTGTGTTGGCGTCCGTCACATTGAGGAACACTTGAGCGGTGTCGTACTGTGTTCCATCACTGGCAGTGACTGTCAGGACATACTGGCGTTCCTGCTTGTAGTCCAAGGGGAGGGCTAAAGTGATGAGACCGCCACCACTCTGGCTTGTGATGGCAAAGCGGTTCCTGGTGTTGCCACTGGAGATCTGATAGGTAACCACACTATTGACATCCCTATCTACAGCCGTCACTGTTCGTACACTGGTCCCAACAACAGCATCTTCATTAATCTTTAATGAGTACACCTTCTCGGTAAATGTGGGTATGTTGTCATTCACATCGAGCACTGTGATGCTGACGCTGGCTGATGAAGACATAACAGGTATCCCATGATCTCTTGCCTCTACGCCAAATGTGTAAAAGTCAGTGGTCTCCCTGTCAAGTTCTTCACTCACTGTAATCCAGCCGGTGCTGTTGTTGATTGTGAACGGAAAACCAGGCGTGGTGTCAGTTAACCGGTATTCCAAACGGGCGTTTTCTCCAGCGTCACCATCAATTGCTTGGATGTGGATCACAGAGTATCCAATGGCCACATTTTCCAACACAGTAGCCTGGAAAGGTGTGCTGACGAACATGGGGACATTGTCGTTCACGTCCACCACTTGAACCACCACCATCCCTGTGCCATTTATCAAAGGAGGCCTGCCACCATCCTGTGCCTTAATCCGCAAATTATACTCTCGGATCATCTCATAGTCCAGAGGATTGATGATATCAATTACACCTGTGGGGGAGTGAATGTAGAACTGTCCCCTAACATTGCCACTGATTATGCTGTATTGAACTTTGGCATTGTTGCCTTCATCTTTGTCTGTAGCTTCAACCTTGATGATGTTGGTGTTGACTGCCACATTCTCTGGGATCTGTACAACATATCTCTTTTCAGTGAACTGTGGGTAGTTGTCATTCTCATCCTCCACAGTGATTTTGACAGTAGCAGTGGCACTGCGGGGGCCTTTTTCTTTGCCCTGGTCGTTGGCCTCAACAGTCAGCTGGTACTGGGCCCGGGTCTCCCTATCAGGCCGCTCTTTGATCTTCACCACGCCGTTCCGGGGGTCGATTTCAAATACAGAATTAACTCCATCACCGTTGACAATTTTATAAATCATGTTAGCGTTGGATGGAGCATCCCCATCAGTGGCACGGATTGTTATCACTTCAAACCCTACTTCTACATTCTCCCGGATGCTAACACGGTATTCAGTTTGCTCAAAAACTGGGCTGTGGTCATTAGTGTCACTCACAGTGACAGTGAGGTAAGAAGTGGCAGATTTTTGGGGAGAGCCATAATCAGTTACAATGACTTTGAAAACATGGGTGTCTTTCACTTCTCTGTCTAGTGACTGTACAGTTGTTATGCTCCCTGTCTGAGAGTCAATTTCTAAAAAGTCATTGGACCTGCTGTCAAACAAGGCTTCCATGCTGTACTCCAGCCTGCCTGCCTCTCCATCATCCGGGTCAGTGGCTTTCAGGGTGATCACCCGCGTGCCCGCAGGCTCATTCTCGGGCAATGACACCTGATAGTTGGGGAGCTGGAACTTGGGAGGCGCGTTAGCCTGTCGCTTACCCCTGCGGATCAACGTGCCGGACTTTCTCTGGACGGTTTCTGAGAGCGATCCATATTGCTTGGGCACTTTTACCAGCGTCAAACTCAGCTGCACAGAGAGCCTGCCGTCTGGAGAGCTCTGCAGTGCGCAGTGCAAACTCAACTCCGGCTGTCCTCTGTGTTCAATACATAAGTCACTGGCCAGGAACAAATCCCCACGTCTGAACACTGCACTCAAGTCTTTGCCAACACACAAAGTGTCCAAAAAGGCGGTGTTGCGCGTAAAAGCAGGCAAAAGTTCTGTTACATTCAATAGCAATTTACCTGCGGACAAGCAGGAAGTTGCCTCCAGTTTTGAAAGGTGTTTAATGTGAATGTCTGGCTTACCTGACGCTTTCTTTCTCTTGTATTTAATAAAACAGTCCTGGCCGTGGACAAACACATTAAACTGTGTCAGAATAACGTCCCCAGATGTCAAGGAACCTGTTCTGAAATAAACAGGCGCTGGGTTCCTCGGTGTGTGCGCACACTCAACTTTGTGGGACAGACGGATGACTCCATCGTGTCTCCCAACTTGGAAAAAGCTCTGGATGAATTTGGGTGATAAAGTCCTGTCAAGTTTTGACGTCCACCCAGGTCCAAGGGACAGGTTTGCTAACAGTGTCCCAGGCTGTAAAGTATCCGAAAGGTGTATCTCCAAACATCCCGAAAGCTGCACGTTGAACAGGACACAAACCCAAATCCAAAACATCGGTAGCTCCATGCTTGTGAACCTGTCAAATCCCATTCAACTTCATCGAAACTCCTCCGCTAACGCGTTAACTTTCCCTCTCCCAACAGCGCCCTTTACTTTTATCCCTCATTGTGAAGTTTTAACGTAGAAAAAGACGCTTGGTATCCATAGTATCGGCGTATCCACGGCGCGCAGCAGCTGCGTTAACCCACACTGAGTTTAAAATGAGTACAAAATGGCTCCGTGGCTCTCCTCCGCCTTCTCTCCTCCTCGGAGACTTATTACCATAAACCTGCTGTGTCCCCCCTCTGGGACGCTTTCACAGGGGGGCTTCTTTTTTCTCATGTAGATTTAGGAAGTGGCCCTGACCGGGTGACCAATGTGCATTGTTATTGTAATAGGGTGAGAGTTGGGTAAAATTCCTAATGCGTGTTTGAGTGTCTCTGCCTCTTCAACTTTTGTGTGTTGAAGTAGCTGTAAGCACTGAAGGTACATATGAAAGACATGAAAAGTGGTTTAACTAAGACTTCAAGGTCACAATATTAGACAAATGTAACACAATAAACTGCAACTTCTCGGTAAATGCAATTCAAAAAGGTGGGCATGGTTTGACTTATATCATAATTTAAATAACTGTTTTCAGCCAACCACACATATGTAACAGCTTAATAAACCAAATTATCAGTTGATAATGGATTATCAGAAACAATGTTTCTGATAATCCATAAATAACTGTTCTTCATGTTACATTGTAAAACAGTAATTATTAAAGCAAAATTTGTTTCTCTTAGAAATAAAAGATATTGCTTCCTCTAGACTTAAAAAGGCTGAAAGTGAAATATTTCAAATAAAGTACATTTATATATTTTTCTTTGTATCATTTTGTGTTTGGAATTTTTATTTTGACTTTAATGGATTGCAAGATGCTAAAAAACGATGTGTCTTAGCGTTATGGTGTTGAATGAGCCTTTATTATCCCTTATTACTTATCACCTGTTTTTCCCCACAAAGAAAACGAATGTTTAGATGAAAACACTTTTCAAAATTTGACACAAGAACAATCTCTTCTAGGAAATCATACAAAATAAAATAAAATGTGTTTAAAAAATATCTACTGTGACATTCATCAGGACTTATAAGAACATACAGTAAGGTGACAGAACAATGCTGACTTGAGAACAACAGGTTCACCTGTAGGGTAATCTTGTATAACAGCGCCCCCGTGTGGATCAATAATTGTAGGACAACCTATCAAACTAAATAATGTATTTTTTATCTCGTATTTATTAACAAGTTTGCAGGGAATCTTTAGGTATATGGGACAATGAAAAAAGTCATCACACCACTGATAAGGTTTATTCACTCATTGGTACATTTTAATGTATTTACAGTTGGTACTAAATGAAGAACTCATATTGCATTGCCATTCGATGAGATAAGGCACTTACATTATTTGTATTCCATTTTCTTTTTCCATTTTTTTTAAAATCCTACATTTAAAACCAATATATAAATGACAGTTAAAAGCAATTAATCAACAGCTGAGATGAACAATGTAATTGTCTTTCAATTATTATAACAAAAAGGAAATAAAATTCTAAATATTAAACATACTTGTTTTATTCATCATATTCGGTTCTAATTGTTCATTATCTTGCATGTTTTTAGTGTTTACTTTCATCTGTTTACCTGCAACTTTGTGTGACTACTCGGTACCTTGTTTCTACTTTAGTCGTAATTATTCACGTAATTTATCATTATAGAAGTCAAAAGCCATCTTTCTCTTGACAAGGATAAAAAAAAATCAAGGTGATTCATATCTTAACATATGTAGGTTGGCACAGAGGGTATGGTGAACATTACTCACAGTCATAAAAAAGGATGGGAGGGAAAGTCTCAGAAATGATAGAACAAACATACAGAAAAATAAGGTCAAAATACATTACAGTGAACAAACAAGAACAATAAGTGTCACTTTCATTCACCCAGATAATAGGCCCCGAAATTGGGTCAACCATTCAGTTGACAACTATTAACCCTCTGCTAGCTTAAAGTTCAAATCCATTTCCCTGATTCCCCCTCAGGTTTCCTATATTTTCAATGAGGAAAATAACAGTAAAGGGCTCAGACCTAAAACACCCTTGAGAAAAGACTTCCAGACCACGAGTACAATTATTTTAGAGCTGAAAAAAACAAAAAAGTGAGCTCAAAGTAATGCTACTATAGGTCTGTGAACCATCTTATTTTACTGTATTTTGGTTCCTTATTATATATAGGGTGCGTTGCATACCCTGTACGTATGCCTGAAAATATATATGTTTTGTGCCAAGAATATCGTACTGCATCAGGTTGCATGTTGCTGCATGCGAGGCAGCATGATTTCCTTGCTATTCTGACCCACAATCCTCTGCAAAGCAGAAGATAGGTCACATCGACTGAGGCACCAAGAGAGCACAGACATCCTGAGGACTGCTCATCATGCTACGGACTTGACGGATATATGAACTATGTTGCAAATGTATTATCTTTTCAATTTACACACGGCATCTATTGCACGTCTGTCCGTCCTGGGAGAGGGATCCCTCCTCTGTTGCTCTCCCTGAGGTTTCTCCCATTTTTCCCTTTAAACTGTGGGTTTTCTCCGGAAGTGTTTCCTTGTACGATGTGAGGGTCTAAGGACAGAGGGTGTCATATTGTCATACTGATATTCTGTACACACTGTGAAGTCCACTGAGACAAATGTAACATTTGTGATATTGGGCTATATAAATAAACATTGATTGATTGATTGATGAACAAGAGGGGGTTCAAGTTCAAGTTGCAATGTCAGGATGAGGTAGTATGTCCCTGTGCTGAATACATACTGCATGCAACAGTACGTACTCTTGGGGCTGCTCCAGAAAGTAATACAGTAAAAATAACACTTATATTACGTCAAATGCAGCCCCCCATTCTCCCCTGCTAAATACACCTTGGCTTGAATACAGATGGTTCTTCTTAGCAGCTAGTACAGGGGTGGCCAACCCGCGGCTCTCGAGCCGCATGCGGCTCTTTGCCTAGTTTCATGCGGCTCTTCAGTTCATATCGAATTGTATATGTGTGAGTTTGGGGGAGAGCCACTGACTCCTGACTAGTGTTGTACGGTGTACCGATACTTGAAAGGTACCGCGATTCCCTGCCGTTAAAAACGTTACTATTCCTCCGTTTCATTAGTATCGATACTTTAAGAATGACGGGGGAAAGTACTCCGGTGAGAAAGCGCCGTTTAATAAGAGCCGTGTATGATCAGCGCTCTGCTTCCATTCCCTGCACTGCAGCCGTGCCTGCAGCCCCGCCCCTCTCAAGCACGCTCTAAGTCCCTCCCCTCTCTCATGCACGCGCTAGCTGCCAGAGCATGTGAGAAAACGAGAAGCATGGCTGCAAGTGGGAGTGCAACTGCCGCTGCGCCTCGGTTGTTGACAAAAAAGACGCCAGAAGCGACATTTGGAAGTATTTTAGCTATATCTCTGACAGTGAGGACAAGCCTACGGACACCACGAGGCCCGTCTGTAAGAAATGTATTAATTTTATTTAATACGAATTATTGTCATTTATTTTATTTATTGTTCTCATTGTTTAAAAGTTTGTGTTATGGTTCTGGTGTGAAATAAAGCACGATAATTACATTTAAGACTGTTTCCCTTTTTTTAAGAAAAGTATCGAAAAGAATCGGAATCGCAATTCTTGACTTGGTATCGAAAACAAAATGTTGGTATCGTGACAACACTAGCTAGCTACTCCTGACAGTTAAAACCTGATATTTAGTAGGGTCTGTTAAGTATTGAATGCTGATAATTCTGACGTAATTTGGCCGGTCAAAGTTGTTTGGGCTCGGATAAAATCGCTCCGTTACTTTCGTTTCGTCCCGTGTTACTTTCGTCCCGGCTCTCCCTACGTGTGTATGTGTGGTGTCAGGAGTCAGTATGAGAGGATGACAGCGTGTCTAATTTTGATGTGGCCCAAGAGCCAATCACAATAATACCTGTGATGCTGTGAACCAATCACCTTTGAGGGGGGGAAACCTATAGTTGATTAAACACTATCCAGTGTTTCCCCTACCATTGTCTTGGAGGGGCGCTGCTTCCCGCCAACGGAGCCCCGCGCCCCCCCCTGGAATTCAAGGTGTTTCAAAAATATATATAATTATTATTTTTTAATATATACATAGCACCAAATTGCAAATAATCTATAACTACTGTCACTTTTCACATTGAACATGTGCTCTTTTATTAAATAAACTAAACGCTTTCATTTTAAGTTGTGAGTTTATTGTTTTTGACCCTAAGAAACACTGATGCATTAATCAATACCAATATTGCTCCTCTCTCTGCTCCAGAGGATTTAAAAAATATATATCCCAATGCCACAAAGATGCATCAGTGACGTGGTTGAAATCTTGTCTCCAGAAAACAAAAAACTGAAACAAGCGGTATCAGTGACTGTGTGTTTGATGTGGCTCTTTGCAGTAAAATAGAAAAAAATTGGCTCTTAACCTCTGACTGGTTGGCCACCCCTGAGCTAGTAGATAACCTTTTAGTGTCCAACACTAAACGTATCACAGAAATGAACCCTTTTGTCGGATCAAAAATGTTGATATTTGAAATGTGTGCAATTAAAAACCTGTTTACTGTTTTTTAAAAGTGAGTCCGGAACAGACACTTTCTAAGAGACAGTTTATCTTCTTAAACAGTGTGCTCTACCTAATGTACCAGACAGAGCTCTTTTCCACCACAGCTTGGCGGGGGGGTCCTCTCAGCTGGCCGGTTCAGGGGTCTGCTGCTCCTGCTGCCGCTGAGCAGCCGCTAACAGGCGCTCTCTGCCCCGCTGCAGGGTGAACTCACTGGGCCCCAGCTGCATGATCTTCCCACTGCCCAGACACTCGTCTCCTTTGTAGAGCACGGCAAACTGCGGGAGGATCAAATGTATATTATAAACCGTTTTTATAATATACACAAGTGGTCATGGACAGATTCACTGAAATATATAAACAACTTAAAATAAATATCTAATATATTTTTATATTGCAGCATAGGTTTATGCAACCACACTGTATTATTCTGTCACACGGTGTGTTGGCTGTTACCTGTCCAGGTGTCAGAGCTCGGACTGGTCTGGAGAGAGAGATCCACACAGAGCCGTTCATGTTCAGTGTCACTGTGCAGGGAACTGGAAAACATTAAAATGTGTGTTTTTGTTCAGTAAATACTTCTAATTTACCAAATTACAGACACTAACCTCACAAAACTCACTGAGTGGCATCTGGTGGATGAAGCGGAAACGACACTCCATCATCTGGGTCTTGACTAGTTCAGCAGGCGGTTCGACCGTTACCCAGTGGAAGCGGTCCGTCCGCATCATGTCACGGAAAAGAGCCGGGTGGTTGGTAGTAGGAGCCTGATTTGTGAGACATTTTGGGCGTGAAGTATGAGCAAAAATGCGTCAGCTTTAATCAGTCTTGCACCTTATAAAAGTGAGCGAAATATGTAATGTTAATGCATTTACAATGTAAAATCCTAAATGTTCTCCGGCATTTTTTTTACCAGGGTAGAAACAACACAAGCACTTTGATGTGGCGATTCTTGTGCTGACTTTTTTTTTATAGTTCATGAATGCAGCATTAAACAAGCTTTAGCATAAGACACAGACAACAAAACTTACAGTGGATTTGAAAAATCTTTAACATATCTTCATAGTCAGATTTTCTTACCACAAACACATCCCCAGTAGTGATGTCTTTGTCCACCACAAAAAAAGGGTCTTTCTGCCCTCCAATTTTGGCCCTCTGGCCCAGCGTCATAGTGAACCAGCCTGGATGGAGAGAGACAGGAAATGACAAGAGAAAAACAGGAAATACACAGAGGTATTTTAAGTCCAACATATCCACATTTAGTGGATATTTACAAGGACCAGGAAAGCAAAAAACTGGATTTTAATAGTTTTAATTTGCTTAACATACTGATAGTCATTACATACGGCCTGTGTGATAATATAATAGTGACACACTTATTACACACTTAAAACGGCCACAAGGCTCAAGGCTTTTATTTGTCATAGCTACAGTGTAGTTATGACGATGAAAATCTTAGGTCACAGGCTCCACCAACAGTGCAACACATACCTTTGTGTGTTCCCATAACAGCCCCGTCCTCAAGGGAGACTAAATTCCCTGGTTTAGGTTCCAGATACTAGAAACAGAAAGACAAACACGTGTATAGGAAACAGGTAAAGGGTTACAAAGCAGGAGGCATTGTTCGAATTTTAAAACGCACAACGAATAATTGAAGATTTATTTCTTACCTCCAAAATAAAGCTTTCAAAGTTTCTCTCTCCAATGAAGCAGATGCCCATGCTCTGGAAACACATTACCTTACAATGTGAATACATATTCCTATGTATGCCCTCCTGATGTTATATAAACATGAGTTACATTTCTGCCTTTGTATTTATTTGTGCGTTTACCTCCTTCTTCTTCAGCACATGGTGAAACCCTGCCTCCGCAGCAATCTTTTTGACAAAGTCTTTGGTGAGTCCGGCCAGCGGGAACATGGTTTGTCGCAAGGCATCCTGGGAGATCTGACTGAGGAAGAAGGTTTGGTCTTTGAAGAGATCGGCTGCTTGATACATCCTCACCGCTAGGGAGAGAAAAAGAAGAAAAAAGATTATAAGAGGGTTTGACTTTAAAGCTAATGTTGTGGTTCAATTTGACTGTAAAAACAAAGAAAGTAGCAAAAATAAATGTAGGTTTAAAAGAGGTAACCCATTAAACTGGGGCACAAGATTCAAACTCTTACGATTTCTGATCTCAAAACGATCTCTGAAGAGAGTTGTCTGTGGCGCTGTGGTCTTCTGTTCAAACACCTCGTCGTCTTCCTGTGACGTCCGGGCGTAGTGTCCTGTTGCCATGGCATCAGCACCTTTATTAACAACAGCATGAAATTAGACACAATGTTTTATTGCGTTTGACATTGAAATCAGTTTATTTACTTATTACTTAAAGGTGGGGTAGGTAATTTGGGAGAAACCAGCTCGAGTGCGCTAGAATTTGAAAATACACAGCCGGAAGAAATCTGCTACTTCCTCACAGAGCCCCTCCTCCAACACACACGAACGCGCACATGACCAATGAGGGCACGAGATAAGTTTGTGCACAGATGGAAGGCTGACAGGCAGGTAGGCCATCCAGTTACTTTAGCCGGGCCGGCTAAAATGATTGGTCGTGCTTTTTACAGTACTACGGCTTCCACAGATTCATTTTTTTATGGATTTTTTGTCAAAGCACTTAAGATATTCATTGCTATCGGGATGTTAAGAGCATTCCATGGAATATAACAAAGTGTATCTCGAGACGATTTCTCAAACTTACCTACCCCACCTTTAACTTTCCAGTCCAAACAATACAAGTTAAACAGTTGTAAAGCCGCCTAGAAACAGTATAGGTCTGTGTATGACCACATTATGACTTGAAACGATCAGATTTGAAATGATTGATTCATCAATTAGTCAATTGAGAGAACAAAAATAACTATTTTTGATATTCAATTAACCTTTTTGGTCATTTTGTAAACAGAATAGGAAAACACTTAAAATGTTCTACAATATCTTCAAAGAGAGTTCTTTCTTTTTCTTTTCTTTGTCATGTATGATTATTATAGGGTAAACAATTATGGTATTTTCATCTTGGTTTAACAATCTAACCCAAGACATTTTTCTTTTGTGACTTTGCATAAATTAAGCAGGTATCGTTTATAATTGGAAATATAAATTGCAACTGAATTAATAATGAAAATCATCATTTCATAGCCCTATTATGATGACATACCCAGCGTGTCGATGGCATACTTGTGGAAATGGTTGAATTTGATGTGCTTGTTGCATAGTATGTCTGGGTTTGGCGTCCTCCCCTTCTCATAGTCCTTTAACAGTTTACTGAAAGTGGGGAATCACAGACGTGAGATTCACAGAGTTTTACATTTTGAGAGTATTTAGGATTCATACATGGCAGCCACAAATACCTGAACACTTCATGCCAGTACTCTTTGATGTAAGACACTTGATGGAAGGGGATGTCCAGGCTCTGACAGACCCTGTAGGCGTCCTCACAGTCTGTCTCTGTGTTGCACACGCCACTCTCATCCAGGGAGTCCCAGTTCTTCATAAAAACCCCTGTGACACTGTAACCTACACACGACAAATAAGAACAATAGCTGAGTTTCTCACTTTTATTTATTTAGGTAAAGTGAGCCAACCATTAATAAACATTAATTGCAATATCTTGTTCTCTTTAATATTGTAACCTGGGAATAGAGGTGGGAAGGAACTAAGTACTGATTCAAGTACTGTACTTAAGTACAATTTGAAGATACTTGACTGGAGTATTTCCATGTTATGCTACTTTGTACTTCTATTCCACTACAATTCAGAGGTAAATCTCCACTATTACTTTACTACTTTACAGATTTGAATTTGAACACCTAAATCAGTCTTTAGTTACACCTGGAGTAAATTCACAAGCTACCCTGCAGTATACAAAGTCATTCAAACTAGCTACACCTTTACCAGCTTTGATAACGCTTTAATGCATCAACAATTATAATCAAAACATATCATATATATTATTCTGAAATGGACCAATCTGCAGAATGAGTACTTGTACTTCTGGTACTTCCATTATATTTTGAAGCTAATACTTTTGTACTTTTACTTATACAGGGCTTGTACTTGTAACAGAGTATTCCTACACTCTTGTACTACTTTTACTCAAATACAAGATATGAGTACTTCTCCCGCCTCTGCTTGGTAATAAAACAGATTCTGATAAACAGGTCAGTTCAGGTGTGTTTCTGTGTGTGTTTCTCTTTTCTCTCACCTCTTCTCTTCAGTAACAACGCGGCGACAGAGCTGTCCACTCCTCCGGACATGGCGCACACGACGTGTCTAATAAAACCCATATTTTCTAACTACAGTGCCTTCAGTTAATACTAATTGATTATGTCACTAAGAAAAGTCTTCATTGCCACTTGCAGGGGCAGCCATCTTTACGCTCCTTTTAATAATAACGTCCGACTGGAAACACGCTTCAAACGGGAACTATTGTTCCACTGGGAGCTGCAAGAAACGTAACACTGAAACATTGCGGAGTTGTCACTTTTTAAAGTAAAAGAAAAATTGAAACACATAATAAGGTCAGTAAGTTTAATGCACGAAATATGTCGTTTTATTTTACTTAACGACTCTTTTGCCAAAAAATGTAGGTTTTGTAATTCAACGTGCATGCTTCACTCTTGCTCTGTAGGCTACGTCGTAGGCTAAGTAACGTAGCATAGAGCAGTAAGACCTATAAAATAGTTAATAATAACACACTTCATAGAAATGAGTGAGAATTATGAGGCCAGGTGTGAAATATTGTTTAAAAATAAAGAAAATTAAAACTATTAAGTACTTATTATTACAGTGTGTTATTATGATTTGCATTTATTTGTGTGGCTCCTCAAGACGAATGTGTTCCTGATATTGAATTGTGTGTTTCTGACAGATGTCTGCAGAGGCTGTCACCCTGGATCTGCTGAGAGAAGCCAGGGAGACGGTGAGAGGCAGCCCACTGGGTGTCATCAACACTCCCATGATCCCCTGGGGCCAGACAACCCTGCCTCTGGACATCCACTGCAACATCCACATCAAACTGGAGAACATGCAGAGAACCGGTGGGAAAAACCCCACTTTGATTAGTCTCGTACAAGCCAATTCTCGTCTTATTTCTTAAGAATTGTGCATTTTAATTGCCAGGCTCGTTCAAGATCCGTGGAGTGGCCAATCAGTTTGCCAGGAGAGAGAAGGGTGGTCATTTTGTCACCATGTCTGCTGGGAACTATGGGAAGTCTTTTTCGTACGCCTCAAAACACTACGGGTCAAAGGGCAAGGTGGTGATGCCTGAAACAGCCCCTGCGTCCAGATCCATCCTCATACAGGTTAGAAGGGATCGTTTGACCAGTGGTAGATGTTTAAGTAAACGTATAATCCCACGCTGTAAAAATACTCTTTTAAGTAACATTCCTGCATTTTAAATATTACTTAAGTAAAAGCAAGGAAGTATAAACAATGTAGGTAAACATTCAATGTAAGCAGAAAACTCTAAAATAAATAAAAATCTTACCCAAAAAACTTAAAATTCTTCAAAAATAAATAAGTAAAATGCTTATGAATGCTTGTTCATTTTCCCAATTCTTTCAAAAATGTGGTTTTGTATAAACTATGGTTAGTTTTCCCAAACAAAAAAATATTATTTTATAATATCTTGTATTATAATATTATCTAGTAACGAAAGCTGTTATTTGAATTGTTGTGGAGTTTATGTATAAAGTGGCACAAACTGAAAATGCTCAAATGTACAAGTACCTCAAAATACATGAATAAATGTACTTGTAACATTCTACCGCAGCTACCGCAGCTACTACAAACCTGCAATTGTTGAAAATTGTTCCTCCGCATTTATTTAAAAGTGTTATTCTTCTCTTCCTCAGAGCTTTGGGGTGGAGGTAGAACGAGTTCCCACTTCCTGTATGATGGATGTGGTGACCCGCTGTGTTCAGGAGGACAACATGACCTTCCTGCACTAGCAGGACATGCTAGGTACACTCAAAGGCCATCAGTGGATCTTTTGATCATTTAAACTTCCAGCTATTCTAAACCTGTGTGTCCAGTCTAGGTATGGAGGTGCTGGAGGTGATGCCCCAGCCTGATGTGGTGGTGGTGTGCTGTGGTGGGGGGGGGGCTACTGGCCGGTGTGGCCGCCGCTATCAAACTGTCAGGATGTGATAAGACCAGAATCTATGGTGTGGAACCAGAAGGAGGTAAAACAAACACAAAGAAGGAAAAAAGCTGCAATATTAGCTTTCCCCCATGTATCCTAGCAGCTCAATGACATGTGTTTGTGTTTAAACTCAGCTTGCTTACAAAAGCTTCATTGAGAAGAAGCCAGTGGGCATGGACACCAAGAGCATCGCTTCAGGACTTGCACCCCCATTTGCAGGTATCATGAATGTCTCTCTCCATTTCTTCAAACTGTTGTATTTTTTAATCACTCCTTTTCTCTGAATCCCAGGCAAACTGCCCTTCGAGCTATGTCAGCGCTACGTGGAGGGGATTGTCCTTATAAACGATGAGGAGATCAAGGCGGCGGTCTCCACCCTGTACAGCTCCGGCCTCGTGGTGGAGGCGTCCGGCTGCGCTGCTTTCGCTGCCATCGTTAACAACAAGATACCCGGGCTGGAGGGGAAGAACGTGGTGTGCATCCTCAGTGGAGGGAACATCGGGAAAGACGAGCTCGCCAACTTCCCAGGATGACAAATGTACACAAGCATGATGTGACTTTTCTTAGTGAAACACACTGAGAAAAAAACAACTATTCAGGGCTTCTGATTTGGAAATACTTAATAATATTAGGGCCATTTTGTCTGTAAATATAATTATTCTAACTATATGATGCAGTGGGATTTTACTTGTCTGAAATCATGATGAAATATGTTATCTTTGTACCATAACCTTTATTTTGTACACATTTTCTATAAGCTTTTACAATTTGCATTGTAGGTGCCGCATTATTAAGAAGAATAACAAAAGTTCAATGTAATTTTGTTTTTTCCAGAGTGTGCAATCACTTTTAATAAACATCTCTTTCTCAATTAATTTATGGTATGCACATTTTGTTGTGTCTGCATAAAATCTGAGGATTGAAGTGAGTGAAAATGTAATATCCAGCTGCAAGTAAAATGACGCTGAAAATATACATTTCCTTATAAGTGTCCTTATATCTATATTTAAAAAAGGTAATTCAAGATGATTTAGATTAGAAGAACAAACAAGGCGGAATCTAAGCACATGTTATCTGATATTTGTCTCCTTTTAGATGGAAAGAAAGTGCTAAATGAAATATAAATGTGAGCAGGAGAAAAGCAATGTCCATGAGAAAATATATGAAAAATACAATTTTATTTTCAGATGGGAGAAATAAGATTTTTTTATAGTTAACATCCACAAAACACAATGTTTTGGGACTTTACAATGTGGAAGAGTAAATGAATTAAAAAAAAAAAAAATGGTTGCCTTTCCGGTCCTTTTTCCTGGGGCAGCTACATGACGTCCTTAGCAGCCATCCTGCATACTACCGCGTCCAGCAGAGTCCCACTCTTCTCCTCCTCCTGAGTGACTTTATACAACTGAAACAAAGGCACAGATTGGTGAGTTAATATTAAACATGGCACTGAAGTATATTTGTGGTATATAGTTCATAGATGTCAGTTATTTGAAAATGATCCTATCCCATTTTGGAATGAAGCTGACCAAATACAACTTATCATTACATAATATAAGTCAAATTCAATTAAAGAGAGGATTGAATACCTTTTTGACTTTGGCGTGGTCTGTCAGCGAGGAAACTTCTTCCACTGGAACCTGTCGTCCGCTCACCCGGGCTGTGAGGTCTGCTAAAAGCTGGGACTCGTCTTCGTTGTGAATAAAGACCACCAGGACAGAGTCATCGCCATCAGAGCACCCAAACCTTTTGAACGCCTCTGAGATCTGTGTTGGGGAAGGCATACAAATATGATTCATTTCTGTTATGAGTTTATTCATGGTCATTACGATTGGTTTAGCAGATGAGATATGGACATGTATTTTTTTGTTGCAATTATTCTAATAGTTCAGATGCAATGTTAAGAAACAAAACCCTAAAGTGTTTAAAACGTTATGCTGTTTCTTATGTAAAATAAGCATTTTCACATGGGAATGTTAATGATATAAACACAATGAGTAATGTTTAGTAGTATACTTACATTATTAGTCGGTGATAGGTTGAAGATTATTTCTGAGTATAAGCTTCTTGTCTTCATTTTCCCATTGTTCTGTGAGTTAACAGCTTTGTTGGCAGCTACGAGCACTTGGAAAGGGTTTACCAGCTGTAAATAAAAACAGTGTGATGATGAATGAGGTGCCATAGTTTGCTCATTTGGTATAACATAGTTCTGTGTGGAAATTATTGTAAGCTTATAAATACACTTAAGAACATGTCTATTGCACATACAAGTTGGATAAAATGTTGCAAAAGCTGAATGGAACATCTCACCATCGTTGGGTTGATCAGAGCACCGTTTATTTTCCCCTCCACCGCACACTGTCTCAACTCTGCCGCATTTTTGACCTCCTTGAAAAGCATTTGAGTCACTTTGTGGCCGGGAAAGAGCTCCAGTTCGTGTGTTAAATGCATGCTGGAAATTTGCTTCAGGAAATATAAAGAATTTACGATGTATCTCGCTTCACGACGTGAACGTGTGGTCTGAACACGCAGGGGAACAATAACATGGTGACACCGTTTAGAGAGAAAGATTCCTCTTTAGAAATTAGGTCGACGAAAGCAGGAAAACGATATTTTAAAGGAATTCCATCCAAAGGACATCATATATCATTCAATTAATAACTCTTACTACTATGTTTACCATGTTAGTGTGTTGCTAAAGTGTTTAGCTCAACTAGAAACTAAAAGCTATACAACAATTTCAGTACCCGAGCATATTTCTGGAGCGGACCGCCATCTGTAAAAAATATTAACTCTTCCGTTTATCAACCCTAGACGCATTTCAACCACTTCCCCTCTGAATTGAGATTGTAAAGCGGGGTTTAAAACGCAAATGTACTAGTTATGCGGAATACACAACACTGCTACAGCTAGCTTCGGACTGCATTCACTTTTACATCGGATTTCGTCATCAAACATGGAGACATTTGAAGGCTACATCTTCACTGCTCTCTGCAGCACCAACTTTCTGGTTTCCTGCCTACTGTTCTCCAGAGTCACCCGGGAGCAGAGGGAGCCCTACATGGACGAGATATTTCATGTGCCACAAGCTCAGAAATACTGCCATGGCAAATTCAACGAGGTAAAAGTTTCCATTTGAGAGTCCCTCATTGTTGTTTAGCGGATTAAGGCTAGCTAACAGCAGTCTTTAGTCATTTAACATGAAGTGGCAGCTTGGTAAGCCTTTAATCTCCATGTCAGACATATAGAATGGCATTAGTGGGAACGGTGGTTTGCATGCAGTCTTGCTCCAGTAAGTTCTTAATGCAGAAAAGTGGAGATTAAGGATCATCGTGGTTTTTTCTCCCATATGTTATTTGAAAATTCAAGTTATTTTACTACAAAACACGTCAACATTATATTAAGGTTCAAAGCATCCCATAATCTTTTCCCCACAACTCAGGGATTTGGGTGAAATTATGAATGCATGCATAATTAGGGCCCCACCATCATTTTCAAAAAATAAACTCACATTGACTTTGGTTGAATCAGCAAAGGACGAGATATGTGTACAGAGCTTTGCTTCCTGTTAAAGGTCAAGTATAATACATCTTAAATCCTCCATTTACAATTACCAACTAAATAGTGCCTTTTTTTTACACTCTCCCTTCCTGGTAAACACCCCGTTTTTCAAACTCTATGTCTCCAATTGTGCTGTGTAATGCTGAATTTCAGTACAGCCTTTTTCCAAACTAGATAACTTTGAATGCATCACTACGACATCACAGGGGTAATTTCCTACTTTGGAAAGACTCCAGATCCTCTGAAGTACATTGTTTTCACGAATAGATGATTAAGATGTGTATCACTTATTTTCTTGACAATTAGTAAAGTGTTAACCCAACCCTAACATTGTTTTGATTGTTCTTCAGTGGGACCCCATGATCACGACCCTCCCAGGCCTCTACCTGGTCTCTGTGGGAGTCATTAAGCCGGTGGTATGGCTCGCTGACCTCACAGGCCAGGTAGTGTGTTCCACAGCCATGCTGCGCTTCATCAACCTGCTCTTCAACTGTGGCATCCTTTACCTGCTCTACCTGCTCATCTGCAAACTGCACTCCCGGGAGAAGGTACACAGACAGTGACGAAAACAAAGTGTGAGGGATTTTGTGTGTCTTGTTTTCTAACATTTCCTCTCTTCCAGACACGAACGACCTCCCGGCGAGTCCTCTCTGCGCTGTCTCTCTCCACCTTCCCCGTGCTCTACTTCTTCAACTTCCTCTACTACACGGACGCCGGATCTACTTTCTTCACCCTCTTCACCTACCTCATGACGCTGTACGGCTGCCACAAGGCTTCGGCGTTCCTCGGCTTCTGCTCCATTCTCTTCCGCCAGACCAACATCATCTGGGTGGCGTTCTGCGCTGGCACGTTGGTGGCCGCCAAAATGGACGAGGCCTGGAGGGTGGAGCATACAAAGAAGAGGGATGAGAAGTCTCCTCCGTCCCAGGTCCCGCTGTCATTCGGTGGGGCTAAGAAGGTGATGATGTTCACGCTGGAGTTCCTCACCTCGCCCGCTCACGTGAAGTCGGTGCTGCTGGTGGCCTGGCCGTACGCTGTTGTCGCCGTGGGCTTCCTGGGGTTTGTGGTGTTTAACGATGGGATAGTGGTGGGTGACAGGACGAGCCATGAGGCCTGCTTCAACTTCCCCCAACTCTTCTACTTCTTCTCCTTCGCCCTCTTCTTCTCCCTCCCCGTGTCCCTTTGTTACCACCGGGCTCTCCGCTTCCTCCAGGCTCTGAAGAAGCAGCCTCTGTTCTTCCTCTTAGTCACGGGCGTCTCTTTGCTCCTGGTGTGGAAGTTCACCTCCGTCCACAAGTACCTGCTGGCAGATAACCGCCACTTCCCCTTCTACGTGTGGAAAAGGCTTTTCCAGAGGCACGAGCTGGTGCGCTTCCTCGTCGTTCCCGTATACGTGTTCGCAGGGTGGAATTTCCTGGACTCCTTCAAGTCGCGCTCACTCTTCTGGAGTCTGGCGTTCCTGGCGTGCCTCCTCGCTGCGACGGTCCCCCAGAAGCTGCTGGAGTTCAGGTACTTCATCGTCCCCTACCTGATGTACCGCCTGCACATGCCTCTGCCCTCTCTGCCCAGACTCATCGTGGAGTTTGTCCTTTACACGGCGGTCAACGCTGCCACACTTTACATCTTCATCAGTAAGACCTTCCACTGGCCGGACAGCACAGCCACACAGAGGTTCATGTGGTGAGCCAAAGACACTCAAACAGGATGTCTGGATCAATAGAATCTTTCCAGAGAACCAGAGCATATGTGACATCTCAGAAATCAAGGGAAAGCTTCTGTTAAATCGCAGTTGCTAGTTTTAATGTGACAACTGGCATCCAAAACGATCTGATCTGAGGGTTTTAGGGTCAAGTAATGCTGTGTTTTGTTTTCACTGATAAGCCCTGAAGCATGGACTGTGAATCAGCGCACAACTACATTAAAATTCCCCTAAAAAGTATAGAAAGAGAACACATTTTGTAAAAATAATTGCAATTTTTGGCTTTGACAATATAGTGGTGGTATCTGTTTTGTAAAATCTGTTCTAAATGATCATGGCCCGACAATAATTTACTGTATTTCCACATGTTTTTCATAGTACCTACACAAATGTGGGTGGAAATGTTCATTTTTCTTCAGGGTGGAACAAAATGTATGTCATTTTGAGGATTCTGGGAAATAACAAGGCTGGGTTTGGCTTTTCTATGTCTGAGTGTTTCTTACTCTAAATGTAAATACTGTATGTAGTTCTATGAATCAATCTTAGGTGTTACATGATCTGTAAATGTAAATAAAGAGACCAAAAATAATAGCCATATTGTAATGTTCAGAATGT